TTTGTTAACCAAATAAATCGTTACAATTTTCCCATATTTGAATTTGATCGTTAAATGGATTAGATAAATCATTATTTATTCGGTGAACATTAACATCTTGTACATTTTCGTTGTGATTTTCCAAATGATCTTGTTGGTTATCGTTTTTACTAAAAATTTTAATTTTATTTAGTATTTTTAGCATAAACAATTTAGTAAAATATCTACCTTATATTTTCATTTGTCATCTGCTTAACATCCTGATTGGTTTGATGTTTGAAATCCTCAATGAATTGTTCCCATATACGTTTAATGATACATTTATAATCGAAGGTAACTATTTCTTTGTACAGTGCTGTTGATGTCTTTGGCAATAACGATATATCCATACTTTTCACGATGGAATACATTAAATTTTCGGGTAATACTAAAAACTTGTTTATAACCAAATCCTTTACTTTTTCGTAAACTTCTTTACTTTGCATGTACAATAAGTTACATGTTTCATATTTCTCTTTGGTTACTTCCAGGAGACATGACTTCATTTCTTTCAACGCGTATAGATTTTCTTCAGTCAATGATATACGCCCCATTTTTTCTTCTTCGCTACCTTTACCCAATATTGATAGATAACTTTTCGAGAAACATTTCGATTTTACAATGTTAAAAACGGAATTCAAATAAATTTTTGATTTACACGATTCATCCATAAATGAAATAACTTCATCGATTAATTGTAAAAAATTAATAAATTTATCGACATCCATCCATAAATACATACTTGGAGATAATATTATCATTACGGGAGAGTATCGGTCGTTTATCCACGTGCAACCGATGTGTAGAAATTTTAGCTCGACGAAACTCAAATTGAAGACCGACGTTGCTAGTATAGAAAACTCAGGTTGAGGTTGATTCCGAATACTCATTCTTATATCTTTTCCTCCAGTTGTCATTTTCATCATGCTCATCTTGAATATCACGCTGTTATACTTCACTGATTACACACACGAGTAAGAAAACGAAGATACAATACGATTGATTTTCACGAGCGATTGTGTTTTATACCAATATTAAATAACAGGAGTGGGGGAAGAATACAATCATCTTTGAAGTGGGAGGTTGTGAGGCGCTATTATTTGTTATCAAATTGAATTTTTATTTTGATAAGGGGGGCGCTAATAATTTTGATAAGTGAGGCGCCGGAGGAGATTATAAGTGAGGCGCCGGGGAGATTATAAGTGAGGCGCCGGAGGAGGCGCAAGTGAGGCGCCCCCATAAACACACATCAATTGTATTATTAACTGTGTCAACCAAATTATATATTCTAAATTTTTATTTAAAAGTGAGTGTTTTCGTTTTCTTATTACGTTTAATTCCTTTTACCACGTGGGCCCGCACAACAATTTAGTAGTTACAATAGATAATTTATTTGTTTTTGTTAATTTGTTATTTGCGTGTTCTAAATAATAGTAATAAAAATATGATTAAAAAAAGGCAGTAATTGTTTTTAATTTAAAATAAAATAAATTTTACATTGTAATCTTCGATGCGAAGTTCAGAAGGTATTAGTTTTACTAAGATGTGTTTTTTTTGTGTCTGTTACCACTTTTTTTCAGCTCTCACCGAACCGATTTCTATCAATGATACGTCAAAAAAACACAAATCGTATCTAGTCGAAGACATTACCCTTAAAAATTGAAAAAAATTCCACCGTTCCCCGTAAATGGGGGAAACCTCTAAAAAAATTACAAATTTAAAAATCGCTAATTTTCGAAATTTTTTCAAATTTTTTTACTACAATGTGCCGTAACTTTTTCAAAAATAAACATATCAATATAATTTTTTTTTATATAGATACTTGATGTCTTTACCTATCATTTGATATATTTTTTTTGTAAATCTGACCCTTTATTTGCTCACAGGGGGGATTTAAAATGACAACTTTTTCACAAAAACTAACTTTTTCAACATAACATTTGAAAATATTCCGGAAGGTCTGACACTTATATATATATATCTTAAATTAAAGCTAATGTAATATACTTTAATTTGAAAAAAAAAAATTTGACCACTGGACTTGTCTTCACGGTGAAAATGGCTACCAAATGCTATTATTATGTGAAAATTCTCAATTTTATTTTTTACATTTTTAACTTTATAATGCTATAACTTATTGAAAAGTGTATTGATCAATATAATTTTTTTATGGGAAATACTATTTTTTAATAATTCCTTTTTCATTCGACATACTTTATCTTAATCAGGATATTAAAGAGGAACCAGCAGATCAAGTAGCTTTTGGAATGAAACACCAATTTTTTTTAATTATACACTATCTAAAGATTTGCATCGAAGCGTTTTTTTTTTATAGTGATTTTAATCACTGACAGATATCATTATACTTGATTCAACTATGCTACGTCACCACTGTGCCGCGACCCCCGTGTGCTGGGTTTTTATAATACTGTAATAATAAACCAATGGCAAAATTTTGAACTTGTAAGATTCATAGAGGGGTACTATCTAAGGAGGAGTGGAGGGAGCCCCCCACAAGCTTTTTATGGGAAACAAATTATGGAAAATGATACAAGGGCCCAAAACTGTTGGCCCCTCCAATAAACATTTTCTGGCTACGTACCTGAGCTGTAGTATCAAAACACATAGCTTTTACGTGGTTTGTTAAACCCAATCGACCAACGTTTGATATATAGCCTTAGCCTGTAATTTAGAAGTTCCGTTTAACATCTTTGGTACTACTAATAGTTGGACATTTCCATTATTTGAAATAATTATAGGTAGTCTATCAACTATTTGTTTACTACATAAATCAGGTAATAATTTGCCGTCTCAATGTAAAACTAAGGCATTGAGTTTAGTCACAGAAAATTTGTCGCGAATTTCTGTAAATAAATTCCAACATATTTCTTCACGGTGTCGTTTAATTGATGACCTATTAATTATGATATCTTTGACATCATGCCCTAATGATTCAGCCACTGCAATTATAATGTGCACTGCGTCTAGATATTTCATCGAATTTAATAGCGGGTAGATTTCTTCTATATTTATATAACCATAACAAATAGATATTCGGTGGTCGTGTCGTTCCAACCATTTATTTACAGCGTGTGATTTATCGTTTTGAACAAAAGAACTTTTAAATATTCAAGTATGTTCGCTAAATACATCTATATCATGTATCTATATACATCTATATATATATTATTTTATGTGATAATTATTGTATGAGTCAAGCACGCAGTGTACGTCGAAAATTGCTGAAGTCATGTTTTTAATTCTTTTTCGGAATTTTAGGTGTATTCACATTCGTGTTTGGCACGTTACTGTTATATTCCCTTTTATTAGGTTCGAAAGACTTATTTATTAATGTTTTATTCTTTAAGTTGATATTATATATCTCATTAGCATGATTGTTTAATTTAAAATTCACTTCTTGCATTTCATTAGTCAATATTTTTGTAATTTTTTCTATGGACTCTATTTTTGCGTCTATATTTGCAATTAATGTTTTTATTTGGTATACATCATCTGATAATAATTTTTTTCTACTTTCAGTATTTTTAAAATTCGAATGAAACAATAATATATCTTTTGTAATATTTTCATTGGAATTTTGAATTTTTAATATATCATCTGTCAATAATTTTGTTTTACTTTCAATATTGTTAAATCTCGATTGAAGCAATAAAATGTCTCTTGTAATAGTATCATTGGAATTTTGAAGCTGAATGAGTTGTTTGTTTCGTTTGCTCTCTATCGAAGCGCCGAATATGTTCATGGTTCAATACCATTTCAATAAACTGATAAAATTTAATTTTCATCACTTTTTATATCGTTCACAGATATCCAAGAGTTGTGAGAAGTGTCATAACCCAACCATTTCACCAATACTTGACACGGCCCGCGTCGCTTCGTTATACACGATGCCCCGCGACTCGTGTCACCTTTATCAGCCGTCGCCCTACTATGAGTATTTGACTGACCAACACCGCGTGTTATACGCTACGGTGCAAAGTCCAGCAAATGCCGCACGGCCGACGACGACCCGCCGCAAATGGTGCGAGAGTCTTCCTCCCGTTGTGAAAGCGACAACGTCGACAGCCGAACCGCACCCGCGCACCGTCGCCTACAACGCTGCTAACCATTTTGCCGTCCAAGGATTACGCCGAACATCGCGTCGTCGACGCCAGCGAAAGTGCCGCGATATTATGCGAAGATTATTATTACTGTGTTTATCTTTTCGGTTTGTTTTATTTTTGTTAACATAATCTGTTGTCGCTCATTTAATAAACGGCCCACGGGTCTCTACCCTCAAAACCAGTGTCGACCACATTTTTGCGACG